ATATATATATGGACCATCTATGCCAACGCTTAAAGAAAGTCGATTTTTAGAGTTATTTAGTGCTTGGTTTGACTTTGATCGTGTGCAGAAGTAGCGATTGGAGACGATATCACTACAAAGCTAGTGAAGTCAATACAAATTCAACTGCGTGCTATTACGGTATTATTAGCCACTGATTAATCAGAAAGCTTCAAATAAAAAATATTTGATAAGAAATTCTTTGCACTAAAACAATTGCATGCCATTCCATACAAATGTTAGAATTTCCACAGCAGATTCAGTTTTAAACCATTCTTTTCAATGCCTCCGCCGAGTTGTTAGATCTTGGTCTCCACCACCGTTGCTTGAATTTGTTCCCACTCCACTTTTTACTTTTTTGACTGCAATTGTTTGCGTCTGCCATTAAGGATGAAGCGTCCCGCATTCCTACCCGTTTCGACAACGTCTTAATACCGCTATGATTTCATAAAATAGTTTTCTGCTTTTTTTGTTACTGGCATGATGAGAATTCACTCAGGAAATTGTCTGAAAAAGTTCACATTAGAAAAACAGATTGCAATGGAGTGAACGTGGTGAGTAGCTGTTTAAATCTATCAAGAATCTTAACCGCTTTACTTACTGCTTATTATTTCTTATTGGCAGGGTATACTGCGAAATATAACTTCAATAATGCTGAGATATTTGCAAAACTACGGACCGCAGGTGTCTGAGGTGGGAAACGAACGCGCCATTACCCTCTGTGGAGGGCAACGCGCTCACCACCATACCACGCCGATCCTTTCTTTCTCCTGTCTCTTAGCTAGTTCTATCAATCACTCACCAGTATCACCTGTCACCTGTAGTCCCGTTCATTGTCGAGTGACTCGAGCGGGCACCAGCAAATCTTCCGTTTTCCCTGTCGCGTGCAAGAGTAGCCCAGTGGGTTCTGCTCGCTCTAGGGACTCGCCGAGCATCATATCCTTTTTCAAAGCTCTTTGTGAAGAACTTTGTCTATCGCGTCGGTGCTCTTCTTGCAGTACGTCTGACATACCGAGGAATCCAGTCACTAACGGCTCTTGTCCATCGGTGGTCATTCATATTACGTGTCCGACCCACCTTGTCTTCGACTGTTTGGAGTACAGAACGGCATCTCTGAATTTTGATCGTTGACTCAGAGCGGGGCTTCGTATCTCATCCCTTGTTTGTGTTAAACGGGATATTCCTAGCATCGTCCTTTCGACTGCGCGTTCGGTAACGCTGAGTGACTTTTCATCCTGCTTACGCAACGAACAGGTTTCTGACGCATACGTTAGGATAGGAAGTACCGTTGAGTCGAAAAGGTGGGCACGGAGTCGGGTGTTCTTTGTTCACCTCACTAGATACTCGATGCTCTTGAAAGCCTCCCATGCCGCTCGTTTTCTTCTGCTCAGCTCCGGAGCTAGGTCGTTCGTTATATTGATTTACCGACCTAGATAACTATAACTGGAGCATTCGGAGATAATCGTTCCGTTGAGCGTGATTGGGGCATGCGAAACTAATCCGTTCTTCACGAACATCGCTTTTGTGAGATTTCGTCGAAGACCAATCTTTCCATAGGCTTCATCAAGGTCGTCAAGCATACGTTGCGACTGGCTAATGTTTGGTGCTATGAGAACGATGGCAGCAGCAAAGCGAAGATGGTGTAGCTGTCGACCGTCGATTTTCACCCCCATATTATTCCATTCCGATGTTCGCACGACGTTATGGAGGGAGGCGGTAAATAATCTTGGCGGGATGGTATCGCCTTGCCTAACTCCTCTTTTGATGTAAATGTTAACATCGTTGTAGAATGGTGATACCTTGGTTGTGAATTTTTTGTACAGTTCACGATGAATCTTTGCGCGCTGAGTAGGGACTCGACTATAAAGGGCTTCCATCACTGCTTCTATCTCAGTTGAGTCAAAGGCCTTTTGTAAATCGATGAAAGTGAGACAGAGCGGTCTTTTGAACTCTCACGATGCTTCAGTGACCCGTGTTACCTTGTGACGGAAGATAGACGTGGCTATCGAAGAGAGCCGAGTAGTATTCGTGAATGATTTTCTTCACATCCTTTCTGGACGCTGTAACTGTTCCATCTGGGCACCGGAGTGCAATCATTTTGGTCTTGTAATTGGTGAAACTCCGGTGGACTTTGCGAATGCTTTTTCCAGCCTCTGCAGCTTCGGCCATTACTGGTGCTCTTCTCTCTCTAAGATCTTCTTTTATCGCCTGTCTGCATTGTTTTGCAAGTTCGGACGTCATTTCGCGGTTGCCTGCAGCTTATGCGATTCCACGCTGTCGTATCAGCTCGAGTGTTTCTGGAGACAAACGTCATTTGGTGGCTTTCAAACTCTCAGCTTTCACAGTGCTAACATGAAGAAGTTGATTGAATGAGCCGATCGCATTCTTCGTCGATGTTATCGACAACGGCATCCTCCCAGCAGCAGGCTAATGAATTGAATAAATCCTAGTTTACGGTGGTTTTTGGGAATTCGGTTTTAGAATTTAGCGGCTTTTTCTCTTTTCCAAATAGAATCCTGAGCGAAGAAGAGAAAGTCTGATCCCTTGTAGAATTTTTGGACAACAGCGACATCGGTTAGGCAAAACGCTCTATTTATCATGATGCGGTCTATTTCGTTATGGTGCTCTCCACTGGGAGACTCCCACGTCCAGCGCTGAGAGTGGGGCTTCTGAATTTGCGAGTTACCATGGATCTGGTCGCCATGACAAACTCAGCTTGCCCCTCACCCTGTTCGTTCCATTCTAATCCATGGGTCCCAATGTGACATTTTTCAAACGTTTTTCTCGGTCCAGTCTTAGCGTTAAAATCTCAATGATAACCTTGAAGAATGTGTGATCTTCTCTGTAGAACTTCTCCAAGTCCATAGAGAGCTCTTCTTCTTCTTCGTCATAGCTCGACGTCGGTGCGTAAGCGACGAGGATTGTCAAAGCCGGCATTGATCCTCGTCCTTTTAATGGTAAACGTCCGATTCCGGTTGTAAGTTGTTCGAATGAAACGATGTTCTTGGGCAAACTCGTGTTGACGAGAACGCCGACTCCGCCGACTCCTCTACTGTCGCATATTCCGAAGAATAGTTCTTCTCCGGTTTCATAGACGGCGTTGAAAGGCTAGCGTCTTCTCGTATCGGCTAGGCCGTTGATGTCGTACCTTATTCTTCTTGCTTACATGAGCAAGCCTTCTGTCGAGGACTCGGATGCAAGTGTACGTGCATTGTAGGTACAGACCGTCACCATAGTTCTTTGAAACCTAGGCAGCTTCCATTGGCTGTGAGATTTTAGCAGCCTCTCCGTACTCGTGCTACCTAACGCTGCCTAATTGAGGGCTCTTTTGGGGTCAGGGAAATGAGGCCCATTTTTTTTTACTGTGTCTAGCATTTTGACGCCCACGTATAGCTTGCTGGGCTCTCAACCTGGGGTTGGGTATACTTACGCGTAGCTTGCCAGCCTCTCCCAGACATGGAGCTGGACATGGAGCTTATTTGTTAGAGGCAACTTTTAACCGCCTCCCGTACACTTCCCAGTCACTTCATTGCAGGTTTTTGGCCGAATCGACTCGTAGAATAGAATCCGCATAAGCAAGAACGTACCCACACACGCGTGCCTGAATACGCCTAGCAAATACAGAAAGTATGTGACAAATCAGCGCAGCAGAAACAGGGCATTTCCTGAATCCACCTGCGTATCAGGGAAGCCGCTTTTGGTCCGCGATTAACCCCCATCCGCCACCTGGGGTCTGGCCATTTAGCCCCGCGACTAACCGGCTCGAGATCCCTCATATGAGGGAGATCCGTGGCTGTCGATCACTGCCAGCGGCAATCAGCCGTCAACGTGATTGATCTGGGGAGCCCAAATCGGCATTAAACCCAGTTAAGCTGAGGCTATGGTTTTTTTTTGAGACAGTTAGGAGATCTGAGAGACAGCCGAAACGAAGGGACCGCATGGTGTGGTGGTGAACGCGTTACTCCCTGGAAGGGACAACAACGCGTTCGTTCCCCACCGCAAACACCTGTAGTCCGGAGATTTGCAAATATCTTAGCATTATAGTAGTTGTATTTCGCAAAAATACCCTGCCGTTAAAAAAAAATAGGAGGTAAATAAAAAGGTTAGGACTGTGACTATAGCTATGGCCTCAGCTTAACTTGGTTCAATGCCGATTTGGGCCTTCTAGATCAGTCCCGTTGACGGGTAGTTGCTGATGGCAGTAATCAGTAGAACTAGCTGAGAGAGAGGCCAAACGAAGTGCCCGCATGGTGTGATGTTGAACGCGTCACTCTCCGGAAAGAACAATAGCGCGTTCGTTCCCCATCGCAGGCACCTGTGGTCCGGAGTTTTGCAAATATCTCCAAATCATTAAAGTTATATGTTTACTTCACCAAACGTACAGTAACAGCATGCGATTATCAAGCAGTTTCGACGTACAAAATAGATGACGAAAGATAGTGTAAGTTTAAAAACACGTTAAATCAACGTACCAGTTAAACATAGAATGGAAAAAAAAAACAAGTATCTTTTCCTCTTATATATCTCCATCTCTGATATATCTCTTACTCCTATCTGTTTTTGAACCTCTTAGTAGAACTGAAGTATATTTGAATCCGATGATGTTTTTATGATGCGACAGAGGCGGGTATGGAGCAGTGGTCGGAGGCGCCCTGCAACGCACACTTGGGTCCGATCGCGGCGCCCATGGCCTACCAACCCTTTCATCCTTTCGGGGTCGAAAAATTGGTACCAGACCACCAGAATTGTCTGGGAGGATAGCAGGACTGGCTCGATACATCGGTAGGTCACCGCGAATCATTGTAAAGGCCAGATATGCATTCAATCACCTCCAACGATGCTTAATGAAGTCGAATGAATGATGCATTCCTCAGAAACTGATCAATGCCAAGAGCTTTATCCTTTATCCTTTGTCTTTTATGACACATTATCATATGTTTTGCTAAACCGAACACTTTTCTTTCGACTCACTTTCTGACATGCGTCGATAACGAATAAGTTCTGACTTATGCGTAGTAGCGCTCGAAGATTTTTTTCATGAATGTCATTGGGTGCTTTCTTTAGCTCTGTGATAGCTGTTTCAGGCTCTCCTCCAGGAACATTCGTTAGCATTTGTGCATCAAAATGAGCTTCATTTTGACTGGTGCGCTCCAGTGTGCGAACCCCGTAAAAATGTGGTTTGTTAAACCAGGCGTCGTTGAATCAGCGATCTTTTATGTAGTATTTAACGAGATCTCCAACCACTTTGCCTCACGCGCTTCCTAGTGTCGAAGATTAAAAACGAAAATACATTCCTACCGTTAAGGGTAGGCTTTTTCTGCTTTCCTCTGATGTTTCGCCTTTGTAAGGAGATGATAACACCGAATAATTTTCTCGCTTTGTGTTGTTTTCTTCAAAAGTTCTAATAGTTCACTTTCTTTCCATTTCTGTCTTTTTCCACATGTGTGCTGAATGGGTATTTATCGAAGTCGTGTGTGTTTTCCTTCACTAGTAATGATAGCGATGCCCTGGTGAAAGTAACTAGATCACAATAGATATTTCTATAAAACAGGTTGATAACAAGTGTCCGATCGCCACCAGTTATCAATTTCTATTTATTAAGGCGACGAGAGTAATGTTTTGATCAGAACGTCTTTCCTATCACTCACTCCAATGAATTACGCTACGGTTGCCGCGATAATCATCTTAGTAAGCTACCTTGTCTCTTTCCTTATGTTCGTGATTTTACTAACAGTAAAATTTTTTGCAATTTTTTTCTTTTATTTTTTTGCCTACACGCAAACTTTTTCTTAAAAGAAAAACGTCGCAATATTGAGAATATTAGAAATTTGGGTTCGTCTGGTTCGTCAATGGGTTCACGATTTCGCCATCGACATCTTGGCTGCAGCAGGTCTTACACAGTTTTCCACGAAATCCAAAAAAGAGTCTGCTCTACGACCAAGAATCTTCCAACGTGATGAGTTAGAATAAGAGTGATGCCTCGTCTGCTGGTATGCATTTTATGCTAAATGTTGATAATATTCTCAATTTAGATAACAGACCGCACTCGGCTTTGGCAGCTTTTACAAACACTGAAGCAAGACAATGAAGCAGTTTAGAAAAGACACTGACATTCATCGCTCTACTTCAAACCTTAACAAGAATACTTTCATCCCGTTCCTTATGGACATTCTTACTTTCCACAGAGTTTTGTAATCAAACGTTTATGTTTCTCCATGCAGTATTATCCTGTTTGAAAAATTTTGAAATTACCGTGGGTACAGTGCAGTAGGTTTGCTCGTTAACTGGTTCAGATTGTTCCCATATTCTGTAAGATATTTAACAAGACATCATACATTTTTCGATACCAAAATTGGGTTAATATTGACTTCTAAAGCTGACTTCATTTATAACCACAAGGATGCTGAAATATTCGCAAAAATTGAGTGATTGCTGATGGCAGCGTTAGATAGAAAACTAGCTGAAAGAGGCACAAAACAAGGGTCTCAGTGGTGCAATGTGTAATATGCGAGCCCTCGAAAGCGGTAATCGTGGTTCGATCAGGCCGACTGTCCAAGTTATATCACAATATCCTTGTAGTTATATTTTAGATCACACTCTGCCGTGAAAAATTGTAGTAGGTAGCAAATAAAAATTTAACACTGTGACTTCATATATAATGCTGAGATATTTG